TATCGGCAGCACCACAAACTACAGCTGCTCCTCTTCATCTTCTTTAGAAAGATGTTTGACTGTACAAAAACTCTGATCTGATCCATTGAGATATTTTGCCAATTATTTGTATGTCTGATATACATACCATTTTTTTATTTTAAATGAAAACAAAACAAGCTTGATAGTAAAATACATAAGTCAAGAACTGTATTAAACTGTATTAGCAAGACCAGCTGATGCGGTGACGTCATCAAGTCAGCTGCTGTTCCGTTTGCGGAAATGACCGTTCTTTGTTCGTTCCCCCGTACCCGTGAGTCAGAACTCCTGAGTCCGTCTCCCAAGTCTATTCTCCAGAGAACGCCGCCGTCTTAGGTGTTGAGAAAGGGCCTATGTCTATGCAGCGAATAGGGCTACAGATGCGGCCCTTAGCGTCATCCCACGTCGGGGAGTTTGAAATAGAACGGACGCGTCTGAGACCAAAATCAGATTTTTTTTTTTTTTGCCGTAAGTAGGTGTGAAAACATGCAAAAGCGTGTGATACGGCGAAACCATGAGAGTTGGCAGCTCTGCTTCTGGTTGGTGCCTTTCCTGCTTGTGGATTGTGGAGCTAGCTTGATATAGTTAGCTAGAGGGTCTGCGTTTTTGGGTTGGATAGTTCTATTGAAAATGTGTATATTCTATCAAAAATGAATAAAGAAGTGATGTGGTCATTGTAAATGAATGCAAGGGAGGCTTCGTTGTTCGCTGCATTGGTTTTAATGCATCACCGAGTGTGTCACTTTACAGGCATAACATGAACTCCCCTATATCCTATAGGATGTGCGCAAGCGCACTAAAATACCATATATGACATCTCCCCCTCTTTTGAGTGTTATATGACATATAAACAAAGGAACACTTAAACTGAGAATGGCTACTTGAACAGCGAATAGTATGAACCCAGACTAACTTAAATTAAGACATTTGAACATACACTGGTTTTGAGCGTTATCAACACACAACACATTATCAACATCAATAGCTGCACAACTTTCTTTCCATCAGCCCCCCCCCCCCAAAAAAACCCCCTATATAATCTACACTTGTCTACAGGTCAAGGCTGTCGACTTTTCCTGCACACTCGTCCAGATCTGGTCACAGTCCGGGTTGTGGACGTGGCCACACTCTGACTGACAGGAACAGTCTCTAACACAGTGGCTTGGTTAGAGTGTGTCTTCCCCTCAGAGCGGGGCGTGGTCCGAACAGAGGGTGAATAAGCATCCCAGGAGGTAGTAGCGTAGGGAGTCGACCGCCCATCGGATGGCCAGGCACTCATTTTCCACTGTGCTGTACCTGGCCTCCCTCTCGAACAGCTTCCTGCTGATGTACACCACGGGGCGGTCCACCCCCCCCCCACCTCCTGGGACAAAACGGCCCCAAGCCCCCTGTTCAACGCGTCGGTGTGCAGAATAAAGGGAAGAGAGAAGTTAGGAGTATGAAGGAGTGGTTCCCCACAGAGAGCCTGCTTTACCTTCTCAAACGCCTGCTGGCACTGCTCCGACCACTGGACCGGATCTGACGCACCTTTCCGGGTGAGGTCGGCCAAGGGGCTGGTGAGGTCCGCGAAGCCGGGGATGAACCGCCTGTAATACCCCGCCAGCCCCAAGAACCGCCTCACCTCTTTTTTTTGTCTCGGGCCGCGGGCAGGCCGTGATAGCTGTCGTCTTGTCCACCTGAGGGCGCACCTGCCCGCCCCCCAAGTGGTACCCCAAATACCGTACCTCCACCCGTCCAATTGCACACTTCCCCGGGTTGGCGGTGAGCCCCGCCCGTCCCAGCGCCTCCAGCACCGCGCCCACCTGCCGCACATGCTCCGCCCAGGTGGTGCTGTGGATAATAACGTCTTCCAGGTAGGCGGCAGCATATGCAGCGTGCGGACGCAGCACCTGATCCATGAGACGCTGAAACGTGGCCGGGGCCCCAAACAGCCCGAAGGGAAGTGTGGTAAATTGGTACAAACCGTACGGGGTGGAGAATGCCGTTTTCTCCTTGGACTCTGGCGACAGAGGAATCTGCCAGTAGCCCTTGGTTAAATCCAGTGTCGTGAAAAAACGTGCAGTGCCTAGCCGGTCCAGGAGTTCGTCGACCTGGGGCATTGGGTAGGCATCGAACCGCGACTCGTCATTCACCCTGCGATAGTCCACGCAGAACCGTACAGATCCATCTCACAAAACGCTGCTTCCACTCCGACCATTCTACGGCCTTATCAAAGGAAAAGTTTGTTGGTGGATTGAACATCGCCACCATGTAAATGAATGCAAGGGAGGCTTCGTTGTTAGCTGCGCTGGTTTTAATCCATCACCGAGTGTGTCACTTTACAGGCATAACATGAACTCCCCTATATCCCATAGTATGTGCGCATGCGCACTAAACTACCGTATATGACAGTCATCATGTCAACTTCTCAGGGAGATATATGTATAAAAATAGCTGAGCAGTCACACCAACCCAGATGCCATTGCTCTTAATGAGCCACTCCCCTAATGAAGAGAATGTACTGTTGTTCAAGCTGTTTCCTTGAGGTTTTACTTTTGGAAACATTTGAGAGAGAGAGAGATGACTAACATGTTTTCATCATCAGGTGTAGGACAAGGGTTTCTTTAGACACTGAATAACAGAGCAACAACATTGCCGGGCCGACATGTTCAGTGATGTCAGCTGCGCCCTAATCGGGGATGTTACTGCCGGTTGCTTTATTATTTATATATATATATATATATATATATAATCAGGGCATTGTCTAGTTTTACAATACAAGTGCAACTCGTTTTGTTTTTGAGCTCAAGGGCTGGACTAATTGCATCCATTAATGAGCTCATACTCATCTCAAACTATGTCTGAATACTCTCCCCTGTCCCATTAACAGATGCACTCAGCTCTTTTAGCAGGGAAGTTGAATGATGGAAACGCTGTTCAATAGAATTTTAAAATGAAATTGTTAAAGCATAGCAGCGTATTTTACATAATGTGAAGCTCAGAATATCACGGAAATTGTGAGTGTGTCGTGAAGCCTGGAAGGCATTGCTCCAAAAAAAGAACACCGATGGATCAAAAATCTTCTTTCTCTGTGTTGAGCCTGATTCAGAAGGACTAGCAGGAAAGAAAAAGAGACGAAGAAGAAAGCGGTGGTGTAGAAAGATACAAAGAGCACAGACATTTCTTTATCTATGTAACTTTTTCCCGGGATTGAGAATGAAGATGTCAATTTGCAACACAGCTTGCTACATAGAAAAAGTAATAACAGAAAGTGGCAGAAAGTACACATATTTACTCTGAGGTAAGGCAATTTTATTTGAATTGCATTGTGCTTTACAAAGTGCCTGACATAAAAACATTCAAACATAAAGTAAAGAGATTTTAAAACTGTTAAGAACATTGATTCAAACATAAAAGAAAAACAGTAATTAAAAAATACAAAAGACAATATAAAAAAAACTAAAGAGAATACAATTTGCAGTGTAGTTTAGAAGTACCAACATTTTCAAATTTCGAAATGGTTTATTAAAGACAGCAGCAAACAGAAACTTCTTTAATCTGGATTTAACGGAGCTGAGATATTCAGCAGGCCTGCAGAAGTGGTTACGAAACAGTTTTATTTAAGCCTCTAGAACCAAGATTAGTAAAAGAGACCATCAGTGAGAAGAGTGGCTTTTTTGCCTTATTAACATAGACCGCTCAATGTTGGAGACCCAGAAGACCGTATGGCTGGACCCAGTGGAAGGACAGGAGGCACCAGAACTATGACTGTCCGACCCTGTTGCAGTAAAATGAGAACTTTTCCAAAGGGATCCAGTGCTCGAAAAAAGCAGTTTTGAACAAAGGGACAGCTAAAATCGACACAAAGAAAGTTCTTGTTGGTAGCTTTAAATCAGGGGTGTCCAAGAAAAATATACGAAGGACTGGGCCGCTCACTAGCTGTGAGGTATACTGCCTGACTTCTAATGCACTCGTTTTGGATAAATCAATCAAATGCAGATAAATTACGTTTGATAATTGAACATGTTTGAAGAAAAAAAGCCTCCATCAAAGCTCTAGTAGTAGATTTTCATTTAGATGAAAAGGTTGGCAGGTCATTCTCTTAGTGAGCTAGGTTCTTAGGGTGCTGATCCCCCTTCATTGTCCTGTATCAAGGGAGATACGAGAAGAGAAATAGTGGATGTGGATATTTCAAGCTTATTATACAAATAAATTATTCGGATTATTAACACATCAACTAACGTTGGTTTAAAAATTGTCAGTAAGTAATTGGGCTTATTAAACAAATGAAAACTGCGTATATTTTTAACTCCCCTGTAATGGGAGAATGTTGCGCTCAGTGGGAACAGCGATGCTGCGCTGTGGTCCGAAGGACAGCTGGCAGGTCAGGATTAAGTTTGGTGGTTGGGATGCGAAGGATGCTGTCGGTCATTCTGGTTCTCAGTCTGCTTTTGTTCAGCGTTAACACAGAGAATGTCTGCTCAACGATGTTGAGCCGAACAGACTCATCCTTCATTTTGCGTGGCGTCTCATCAGAGGATACTTTTCTAGAAAGAATGACAACGGCGAAATATTACCTCAATGTATGATTGAATGAATAACCTGAAACAAAAAGGTTTTGAAGCCCTTTTCAATCCTTTGTTATAACATTTTATCACATTTAAAATATAGTGAAATATAGTGAAACAGCAATCTGTCGAGTGTCTTAAGTAAGCTTTAGAGTAGAAAGCATGTAATAAAGACAGGGTGAGACATGATTATTTTTGGTGTTTAATGGTTTGGATTTGAGCATGTGCAGTTTATGTTGTGTTTACAACACACTGGGTCTCATAAATCAAATTAATACCCAAAATGTTATAGTCTTTCCATCTCATTTAATGTTCTGAGTAAACACCCTCTGTCTCCCCTGGGGACCCAGGGTTGTCTGTGACAGCGTTTGAGTGGTTTTCCCTGGCAGTGCTTTCTGTTCATTGAGCCCACCTTCCTCTCTCTTCCATCTCTAGATGTATCGGTGAGCCTGTTGTCCCTGCTGGTGACCACCTGTGGTCTGGCTCTTTTCAGCGTCTCTCTCTTTGTCTCATGGAAGTTATGCTGGGTGCCACTGAGTGGCCGCTTCCTACCAGATCTCCTAAAGGGAGTGCACTTCCTGGGAGGAGACCAACAGCCTGTCCTCACAGAGGTAAGGAGGGTGATGTTGAAATCCAAAAGTGAAAGTATTGATATGTCGAGCAATATTTGGTTAGTCATATGACTCATTTGTATTTTCTTTGTGCAACCAGTGTCGATATAAAATATGCAGTCTCCATCTACGTAGCCACCCATATATTTCTATAGAGCCGTTATTAAGCTCTACATCCTTTTACTACCGACTTACTTGTGGCAAATCCAAAAATGGGAAAAGTTGACAGCAGACAGCTAGCAGCTAGCGGCCTAAGACAGCACCCAATTATCTTTTTAAGAGTTTTGAATTTTAAAATGCTGCGGATGTTTGGATATTGACTGGATTTTGAAGCAACCTCAAGTGACCATATTGTGAAGATGCGGTTTCATGGATCTCCACATTGGCTTCATTATTCAGCGAGGTTCCCACTTGGCGTCATTGGTTTACGTTAAGTTTTTTTTCTCTCCAAATTGGGCGCCATCCCAAACATGCAATTCATATGGTTTACACACAGCTCCCTCGTGATCGTCCATCTAGTGAATTCGTTAAAAAAAGTCAGCAGAAGACAGCACCCTAAAACCAACAAAACAATAGGAGTCTTGAGGGCTTGGCTTGCTAGCCAACATCGGAGAGGCTGTCCCTGTTCTTATTAAGCTAAGCTATTATTTATTGTAGGGCTGTGCGGAATGGCCAAAAATACATATCTCACGGTATTAAGATTCTGTTGGTATCCTGGTATATGACGGTATAGCTTTATCAAGTAAACACATTAATTCATTGACCCCAAAAAGCACCGGCCCCTGCTACCCGAAATGCTGTTCGTCGCAATAAGGGACACAACGGCCGACGGGGGGTGGCGGTGCGGACGTTACGTCGGTACTTTTGTGCATCTGCTTTCACTTCAGAGCTGGACGCATGGGGGTATCTGGAGCTGCCTCCGCAATTCTTTCAAATCGACACTCCTCCTGAGAGACCTGCCCTCCTCTGACTCTGATTGCTTTATTTCAGGTTTATGGCCAATCTAACCAACGACAGTTCAATTCAATTCATTTTATTTTGTATAGCCCATAATCGCAAATTACAAATTTCAGAGGGCTTTACAGTCTGTACACATACAACATCCTCTGCCCCGAAACCCATCATCGGCACAGGAAAAACTCCCCAAAAAATGAAAAAACCCTTACAAGAGGGAAAAAAGGGAAGAAACCGCAGACAGCAGCGAGTATTACCCAATCAGGGGCCGAATAGGACAAGTCTTCACAGAATTTGGGTGGGATTATTTGCAAGGGATGCTGCATGACGACAACTCTGAAAATACGGGACAAACCCCATCCCGTATTGATTCAAAACGGGACGATTCCGTATTTTAAGGGACAGGTGGCAGAGGCTCAACAGACTTTGCAATAAACCGTTTTCTGGTCTTACGTAACTTATGTCGGGTTTTCCAAAACAAAAAACCTTCCAAACAGACACAGCTCCTCTCTTGGGCACAAGATGTGTTAGTGCATCTTTGGTCTCTTGTTGTTTCTCCTCCATCCCAGCATGCAGTTAGGCGGGGTAATTTTTATACATTTATTACAATTATTAGTGTGACAAATAGTTTATATGTCACAAGCGGTTGTGTCGTTTTGTTTTACCTTGAGTGTTTGTTGTGGGTTATTCATTCATTATAAAGATATAACCATGACTCAATATCAACACACATAAGACAAGTAGCTCCGACCGCTGGGCGCTTCTCGATGACGTGTATAAATAAATTCTGCCGCCTGCCGAAGGGCAATGTTAGTTGTTATGGCGTAACACCGGTATGAACGGTATGTGAGAAATCCATAACGTACGGAAATCTTATGCCCTAATTAATTGTACTGTAATGTTACAGAAGAAGAAACTAAGCCACTGTCCACCCTTTTAATAAAACTATTTCATTAGGTATAATATTTGCCTTACACAAGGAGGGGACGCTGCATTTTTTTGAACATGAGCTTTATTCAACTTGTTTCCGTTTACATGTAGCCATCACCATAATGTAAGCCATTACCGCAGTTCCACCATTGTACTCCAAATGTGTGTCAATAGCCTGATGGCTTAATAAACGGTAACGTTTGCGTATTTGCATTGCTGTAACTGTTACACAAGCTGCTGTCCGTCATACAGGTGGACGGGGACGAACGAGAGTACAGCGAGGATGGCTGTGTAAAGGAGCCTTCAGGACCCCTCATAGCTGTGGCTGTCCCAGAGTCGGGCCTAAAGATAAGCCACACGTCGCCTGACATCCCCCTGGAGATCCAGACCAAGGTGGAGAAAAGCCAGGTCCACACTCTGGCACGGGACAGGGTCCAGAGACAGATTACTGAGCCTACTTCGTCCGTACGGTAAGTACGCATGAAACCCCAAAGCTACTGTACAACCTTTTGCGTTTGAGGATGAGGCACACAGACTACCCCTACACTGTAAAAAAAGAAACGTTAAAAAATGGTCAAATCACTGGCCGCAGCAGCTGAAAAGCACGAAACCGTAAAATTACTTCCTGTCGTATTGCGATGAAATACCTTCAATAGTGATATCACTAAAAGTTTTGCAGTAAAACACTACCGTCGTTATCGTTTGAAGGTTTTCACGTGTCCGTTTTCACACTTTGTTTCAGACACAACTCCATCCGACGTCAGATGAACTTGTCCAATCCGGACTTCAACCCTGCTCAGTTCCAACGCCAAGACTCACTCTCTGGTTTGGGCCGAATCAAACCAGAGCTCTACAAGCAGCGATCTGTGGACGCAGAAGATGGCTGTTGTCCCGACGGCTGTGGGCGTCTCCTCTTTGTCCTAAAGTTTGACTTTGACCTAGAACAGCTGATTGTGAAGATCCACAAGGCGCACGACCTTCCCGCCAAGGACTTCACAGGAACCTCCGATCCTTACGTCAAGATCTACCTGCTGCCCGACCGCAAAACCAAGCACCAGACCAAGGTGCACCGCAAGACACTCAATCCGGTGTTCGATGAGGTGTTTCTCTTTCCTGTGGCGTACGCCGAGCTGTCAAGCCGCAAGCTACACTTCAGCGTCTATGACTTCGACAGGTTCTCTCGTCATGACTTAATTGGTCAAGTGGTGGTGGACAACTTCTTGGATCTTGCCGACTTTCCACGGGAGACTAAACTGTGCCGGGATGTACAATACGTGACCTCGGTGAGAAAGCACCTTTGTCCATTTCTTAAAATTCCACTACTTTGTGTCTCCCTCCTCTGCATCACTGATGCTACATTTCTGCGTAAAGCTTTACATTTGTTTAGAGTGAATACCACAGCCGGTTGCTAATAGGAAGCAACTGAGTAGAATGTAGCAACATGTTTGCCGTTGAATACACAACCAGCAGTATGCATGCCAGCATAAATTCCATGCACTTTCTTGAGTTTTGCCAGAATCTGCCCGCCAATGGCAAAAACAATGTAACAACAGGTGCAAGAGTTATATATCAATGGACTTGAATTTCCTTTCCCCTGCAAGTGGAACTAATCTGTAGTTTCAGGAGGCAGAAACATAGAAATATACTTAGACACAGTTAATGTTTAATGAAAGCAGTAGGAAACACTTGGGGATAGTGACCTAGATCTACGCTGACGTAGGACTGGGATTGGTTTGGCAGAGATACAGCGACACTGTCTATATTACATTATCCACTTAAATCGAGAGCGTTGGTACACTGAGTAACACAGTTAGGAAGTTAGGGCCTCCTGCAAGGGAATTCCATATGGTTTGTCAGTGTTATAGAAACAAGATGGCAGTCTGGTGTGTCTCAGTTTGAGATGAACACTTGTTTTCCGGTCCATGGGCAAACAGTGTTAGAAGACGGTAACTTTGCTCATATTCATATTGGTTTATGGATTGACAATACATCTAGAGAGAGTATCTAGAGAGGACTAGCCTAAACCATTTTCAGTCTGACATTGCCTATTGAGGTGGGGCCCGATACAATACTATTTCATGGGGCCTTTAAAACCATCCTTTTAAATGTAGCCAGAGGCCTCTTTAACGTGTGCAAGTATTGCAAAATTGTATAAAGGCCAACCATGGCAGGAATACTTAGATTTAACAGAAATGAAGGCAAATGTTACAAAAACATTTCACTTTTCTCGTAACTCATCGACTGTCTGTCTGATGATGATGATAATATAAGCTCTTGGGGAAACCTCAGTTTTTGGAGTCGCTAGCAGATATATGAATAACTGTCAACAGATATCAAAGCCGAATTATGTGAAGTTAAGCAGTTGTTTATTTGTGTGTTGTTATTTCATGCTAATAATCTAAATACTGTCTTCTTATGAATTTGGTGTTCAGCCCAGAAAACTCTGATTTCCTGACTGCAATCATTTGCACTTTGAAATGGGTGGGGTGGCGTGACTCGATTCCCCGATGATTCCTTCCACTCTCGTCGGTACTTGTATCCGCTTTTATTTCAAAAGCTGGACGCGGGGGTGTGTGTGGAGCTGCCTCTGGCATTCTTTGGAATCGACAGTCTGCCAGGAGACCCGCCCTCCTCTGACTGATTTTCAGTTTCAGGTTCACGGCCAATCAAACCAACAATGGCAGCGAGTATTACCCAATCAGGGGCACAATAGGACGAGAAGTCCCACCCAAATCATTATTTACATGGGATGCTGCATTGAAGATCCCTGTCCCATATTAATTCAAAACGTGACGTGCTATTTTATTCTCAAATAGGGGATGTTTCTGTATTTTAAGGTAGGGGTTGCAACCCTATCTACCCTGTGCAGTACACAGTCTGCAGAGGACCACCACTTCAAACACAGCAATCAAATGATGGAGAGTTGAGGGCAAATTGATTAAAATCAACTTTTTTCTAAACATTTGTTTGAATAATTATATGTATTGATACGTATACATATTTACAAAACTTGATGCAATCTTAAATAATTTTTTTGCTTGAGTTCATGTCACTTGCCTTTGCTAATATAGCAATGAAAATTGCAGAAATTGGTAGAGGGTTTCAGGAAGCTATCCCTGGGGTCTAGAGCAGGGATGTCAAACTCATTTTAGGTTTGGGCCAGATACTGCCCAGTGATTTCATGTGGGCCAGACCATTACAAATCATATGGGGCGGTGCCGGGCGGATGGTCCGGCCGACAGGGGGTGTTTGGTGCTAATGGTCCGGGGGGAAGTGCCACGCGGATTGTCCGGTCCAAAGGGGGGGCCGGGGGGACACTTTCATCATTTTCAAGCGGGTGCTGCTGCCTGGAGTAGCGCCGTGTTCGAAAAGGTCTAACGCAGGGGTCCTCACACTTTTCAATCCAAGTCAAGGCGATCTACCCCCACTCTCACTCGGGCAGTTCGCCCGCAATAATAATACGGAACAACATCGCTGCATCACTGGAGCGCAAATCGAACAGATATTAAAAAAACACACAACGAGCCTTTCTTCTGTCAGAAGTGATCGCGTGGTGACCTGACGGGATTTTTTCCCCCAATGGCAGGTGATCTACCGGCACTGGGTTAGTGAACGGCCGTATCCCCCTGGTCTAACGCATGTGGTGTGGCGAAATTCGTGAGGCGAATTTTAAATTGAAAGACGCGTGGGATGCGAAAAAGCTTTTTTCCCCTAAGTTGAAATATTGCCCAGTTTCCCAAATGTAACGGTCGGGATTATTACCGCCGCCTTATAGGGGTTACAAAGCACTTACTCTGAAGAGGACTGAGTGGGACAGGGTCTGGGTCCCCCACACTCAATGCCTGTGCCTTGATGCTCAGGTGAGTGAACAGGTTTTTTACTATTTAGCAGCTGGACTGGACGGTAGCTTCTTAGACGGAGCAAAGTAGGCTTCAGTAGGCGGTCGTCTGAAGTGTGTGTGGGGTGCGTGAGGTAACCCCCCTCCTACTCTACCTAGGTCTAGCTAAACCGGTGAGGCGCCCCTACCCCAGGTAAGCAGCCCAATATACTAGACTAAGTTAAACAAACACGTACAGCTGTTATTCCCTCTATTGTTTACTCGAGGATAAACACAGAGCACAAGGAAAACATATTCAAATACGAGACAGTTATATGGGATGGTTTCATTAATACATCTTTAATGTAAACATCATATAATGTATACATCATTAATACGTCACCTAGAAACCTCACGAATGGCTACTCAATACCTCTGTTTCACCTCACCATCAAACATTGGGTGCTTACAAGTTCTCATGGAACCTGGAGAAGCAACGTTCACCCTTATGAAAACTAAAAATGGCTCCCTTTAACCAGAACACGAAACTTACCAGAGAATATAGCTTACTTCTAAAGGCATTTAACATTCACATTCACATTCCAGTAAACTTACTTTAGATGGCAAAATAAACAGTTACTCAGCGTCTGCTGTGCCAGTCCGCATGAGCTAACCGTGTCACTGTGTATGTGTGTGTGTGTGTGTGTGTGTGTGCGTGTTAGTGTCAGCTCCGTTGCTGTTCAGTTCAGTTCAGTAGGTGCTGTTAGCGTCTGCGTGCTTGGGTGTGTGTGTGGGCGCACAGTGCGGCTAGTTCGTTCAGTTCACAGACAGTTCTGTTCGGCCGCACACGCCGCCTGCTGGTTCATGGATCAGTGTATTGAAATGTGGTGCAGTGATTACCCATACAACCGCAGAGGTCACACGTCGTGGGATGTCCGATGGCTGGCAGGGTAAACCTCCAATGAAACGTGTTGTCCTGATGTCAATCGCCCCCTTTCCCGCGCAGCTCACGCACGGGAAGTGGGAAGAGGTGGGAAGAGCTTTTAGCTAGCATGTTGCACCTCAAGATATTGATGTCCCGGCTTGCTCTTCTTGAACGCTCCTCCAGCCATCTTCATCAGTGCACGCTATCTAGCCCCAGCTAATAGCAAAAGTTAACTTTAACTTTACTCTAATGCCGCACAACTTCGGCGCTCGCACTATCCGAGGAAACGAAAACCCAGACGTAACCGCGTTACTGGTTTAAACGTGTCACTTTAATCTAATGCAGCCCGACTTCGGCGCTCGCACTATCAAATAAAACGAAAACCCAAACGTATCCGCGTTACTGGTTCGGAACGTGTCACTCAATACGACCACTCGACAATATTCCTTACCAGGGAAAACACTTGACGCGCCCGTGGAGCCCAAACACTTCTAGCGCTCTCCTTTTCGCCGCTCGTACCCCGTGTTCACGTGAGTCTTAAAGCCGTAGTATATTTGTACCCGCTACACAAAGTTGAAATATTTCAAATATTTTTGAAATATTGAAATGTTTTAAATATTTCAACTTTGGGCGAAAAATTCACCTGATGCTGTCTTGCGAAAGCCAATTAGCGTTGAGATGCCCCGCTCGTCATCACCGCCGTCCTGCTGCCACAGTGTGAATACACTTTATGAAACTGCCAGAGACACACACACACACACAGCTGAGACTGAACACCTGTAAGTTAGTAGTGTCTATCCGAGAGACGCTGGCACCGAGCTGACACAAGAGGTCATCAAACAGGCTGCTGGTCAGCCTGAAGTAGCGCTGGAAGCGGCAGTCATCCAAACGCACTTCCTGGAGGAGTCGGTGAAATTGAAGCTTCACACAACAAATAAAAAGCAGAAATAGTGGTAACGGTAAATGGACTGTACTTGTATAGCGCTTTTATAGTCTTCTGACCACTCAAAGCGCTTTAAAACTACATGACATCATTCACCCATTCATACACTGATGACAGGAGAACCATACACAGTGACACCTGCCATCAGTAACTACCATTCATACACTGTAGTCGCAGCTACAGGAGCAATGTTGGGTTAAGTGTCTTGCCCAAGGACACAACGACATGCAGGTTAGCCAGGCTTGGGATCGAACAGACAACCCTCTGATTGGAGGACAACCGTGCTCCCCACTCACCCACAGTCTGTCCCGACTGTCCTAGTGGTTCTTTCCATGGTGGATAGCGTAAACGATAACTGTCTTTATGCAAAAAAGCTGCAGATAAGCCGCGCCTGAATGAAGCAAAAAAAATGGGACGCGAATGAAGCAAAAATAACTACAACTAGTCGGGGAAAGTAAAGCGTTGCGAGAATTCGCTTCGCTTTTGGTGTGAAGTGCTGCACTAATGCTGCATAACTACAGTAATGCCGACCCTTGTGGAATAACACTCCAAACACACCCACACACACACACATACATTATCTTATTGGTTGACAAAT